CTGGTGACGTTCAGTAGTGATGCTGCACTTTTACACACAGCTCACAACAGAATAAATATAAATAATCCAAAATTGCAATCAGACCACAGAATTTTGTAAAAAGCAAAATACTCTATGGAAAACAAAACCCACTGTAAAATCACAACCATAAACTGACAAGTTGCCAAAACAAGGGCTACATTTTTTTAGGTTATTTTAGGTATTTGAAATACTAAAGTGATGCATGAAATGTGCAGAACAGCAAAACACAGAGATACAGTGTTACAGTGAGATAAAGGCTTTTGTCACTCCTTAATTCTGTTCCAGTGACATCTAGATCCATCCAGAAGGCCAACTCACTACCCTCCACACAGCAACATGAAACACTACAGTATTTTAATCACCAAGACTCTAGACTTGCTCTCAGGATGAACTGTTCAGGTTTTCCTTACTATTTTCAACTCCTGGGAAGGACTGCTATTCATTAATCCTAGATTCCTGAACAGAACCATCCACATAGGGAAATTAAAAGCGTCCTGGTACTGCAAACATAAATCAAATACAATCCAGCAACTACAAAGTGGAGGGATAAACAATCAGGTCATTTTATATTGATTTTCATTAGATTATGTATATACACACCTGTGTTGGTGAAAGTAAAAAAAATAATTGACCTCCCACCAGTTCAAGTAAGAGAAGAGAAGGTCAGAAGAAGCAAGGTCAGTCTTCACATCAGCCTGGTTTCCCCGAGAATCCCAGAAAGAGCTGAGTGATGGACATACAGTACACTGTCAACAGATGCCTGCTTCATTCTTATCTGGGACAACAAGGTATTTCTATAGTGCTAGTCCCTTCTAATGGAGTAATTTGTGTTTAAGAAGCTAATCTCTGAAGTTCACAGGGAAGTCTTACCACTAAATATCATTTGCTTTTGTGGTATTTTATTTGAAGCTTCCAACCTACAAAAATGCTGAAAATTAAGTTTCATATGACATCTTAATACGATAAAGAATACTGCCACATATCAACCCTAGGATTCTTTCTCCATCTCTCAATGGTGCACTATACCGCACACATCGCTTTCTTTAGTTATTAAAGTTCCAATTAAATATAAATCATCTAATGCTCCCTCTGGCTTCCCTTTCTATTCCACTAAGACAGAACCACAGAAACCGAAATACGAGTCATAGATTTACTAAGCAATGTCACAAATAAATCCAAACCAGTTTCAGCAGGAGTGATGAATAAAGCAGAGCTTTTTAATGAACAGAGAAGGAACACACTGCCTTGTAGTCTTTCGACAGCCAGTCAGATCTTCCTGAGCGATTCCCAGAGTGATTACCCTGGTGAATACAATCCCTCAGTCATAAAAGCAAACACTGCAGTCCAAAGTTTAGGGATATTCATAGATTCCTTCTATGAATTGTACAGGTATTCACAGATACAAAAGAGAGTGACATCAATTACTTTACGGAACAAAAACTGTGCCTAATGGCTCCTTGGATACAGTCAAACATTCAGAAAATTGAAAAGGTGGGGGAATTCTTTATTACCTGTCACCTGAGTTTTTGTGTTATGGCAGTATTTAAGTATTATGGATTCTTTATAATTTGTAAAAAAAAAATTAATATGGCTCCTAGCAAAGGAATGGCTTCACCAAGTTTTTTTATAAAAGCATAGTTATTTTGTTTTCGGTTTTCAAAATTATGGAAATAACTGCCAGAAATACTAAAACACCACCACTTAGTTTACATTACAAACAGCGTATCTGCAATCATTGGACCATAACCATGTTATCGCAATGCTTGAGGTTAGATGACATTTTTTTCCAAATAACCTGTTTCGACATGGCCCTTTAAAGGAAACAGATTTGTTAGATATTGTGAAGGAATCCATTATTTAATGCAAGAAATCACCAGCTTGGTAAATTTGAAATTAACTGGTTTCACCACTGAAGTTTGCTCATCTAAAATTTAAAAAAGTAAACTTGCTATAAATGAGATGAAACATACTTAACTAGTGGTTAGCCGTCACTTATTTTTACATGAATTATTACAAAACAGGTTACCTCATCACAGACTAACAAATAAGATATGTTCATAAAATTGATCAACGCTATCAATATACTGAAAACCAGCACTTTCGGAAGATCTTAGTTTGTCAGCCATATTGGGTCAAAGGTCAAGGTGACCTCACACATTTACTCAGAAATTTCTTGTAATTTACCAACTGACAATTCAGTAGTTTCCTTATTTTAGCCGCTTTGATAGCTCCTATTTTTGTCAGAAACACCTATGAATAGATCGTTGTTGGGCAAGACTGCCAAAATAAAAATGTAATTCAGGTGAGTAGCTGCGTCAGCATGCGTAAGCTGCAAAGGAACAAGTAATAGGTTTATTCCATGCTAAAAAAAGACGGAATAAACCAATTACTTGTTCCTTTGCAGCATAAAAATGTGTCAATGTTAATTTCCACATACTCTATTCTACTTTTACCGTACAAATATTTGAATAATTTTCCATCTGACCAATAATATAGCTTATACTGTACTGTTAGAGGATATGTGCATTCTTTAGATAATGCACGTGCACAATAAAGCAGAGAACAGCATTCATCACTGTTTAGACTACAACAGAGAAACTTTAAAAGTATTTTTTTTAATAACATTAATAACTTGCCTTACTTTTTAGCCACAATCCTGTTTGTACCCATTTATATAGCTGGGCATTGTAGTGAAGCAATAGGAATGAAGTACATTTCTGAAGGTCACAATAGCAATACTCCATTCAGAACTCAAACATATTGCTGTGTTCTTGGCACTGCACTTGAAGCATGTGCAAGATATTCTTGCACGGTGTCTCTTATCAACCAAAAAGTTTAATATCAGGATACAACTATTTCTTTTATTTTATTTCTTGACAAGATATGCTCATCGGGTTCATGACCGAGATGGTACAGTAAGCAAGACAAAAAGGGCATCAGAAGACGTCCACAGACTGGCAGACCTACTAACCTACAGGAAGGCTGATAGAATGATACAATGAGAAAAACGGAGAAGTTAGGGGAATGTAACAAGGAAAACAGACTGCAAACACTAAATCTACAAGATAAATTGCATATTCTTTTGAACATAACATCCATTGGGCTAAATCATTCTCTCTCAGCTTCTGTTTGCACCCCATTTTTTATTTAAGCTTCAGCCACAATTATGGTATTCAAATCTCAAAGATCAGTTTCAACACAACAATGGTAGCCTTTTATCATATCATTGGAGGTGAAGTGGACGGAATACAAAACACCCTTCTTTACAAAGGGCCGGGTTTGTTCAGGGCCTGTACGTTTTAAAAAAAAAATCAGTAAAGGTTCAAGAACTGCAAGACACTGTCAGTGACAGAGCAGAACGACTGAACAGCATAACATTGAGATATGCTGTTTAAAAGCAAGGAGTAACCAGTTCAAAACAAAGAAAAAGTTTAAAAAAAACTCACAAATGTAGTTAAATGCATTAGTGCCCTATGCCCCATGTGAACTTGCAGTTACAGTAAGTTAACACCAAATGTCCTTGTAATGGTGCTATACAAAAAAAAGGGTGTGGAGATGAGCTGTCGCTTACAACACCGAAAAGGAGGTGGAGACCCCAAACACTATCCAAGGCGCACGTTGGGAAAACGGTGAAAACATATCTGTAGTCCGCGATCTCTGAATGCGTATTTAGACCGGAATTTTAACTTGATTCTGTGCACCTAACTGGCAGGTTGTGGGTTCAAATCGCAGGCGTGGCATTGTTTTTGTACCTTTGAAAAAGCAGCTTGCTTTAGCAAAACGTATACGTAGACACAAATGAAGCCGCTTTGAATAAAAGCCTGAATTTTAATTAAACATCGCCAATTGAAATACCTACTGCATAAAAGGCATGTTGCTCAATTTCTGCATTACCACGTTGACATTTTCTAATGAAAATCACAATTATGCCAGAAAAATACCCCCTAAATCTCCGATTAGACGAAAACGAGAGGTTTCGTATCGTACTGAGTGGATGAACAGCATTTGAAAGACGGGAGTACAAATTAAATGTTATGATCAGTTTATGAAGTAAAAAAGCTTGACATTCCAACTACAGTTGTCAACATGTTATAATATACACTTGATGTTTCATTTACAATATCCTCCCTCACTCGAGGTTAGTACTCAGGGATAGAAAACGACACTGGTGTTAAAATACTAGGCGGAAAAGTTGCAGTACTGTTTAACTTGCTTAACTATCCTTGTCCGCCGAAAAATAATTTGTCCATCGACGCATTTACTGGGAAGCCAGACACAACTTCGAAAAGAAGAAATGAGCAATGACAATTATCTCAGGTTAAAAATAAACCTTCGCAATCTTAAAAGATACAAGCCGAGGACACAAAAATACAGCGTAAAACTACAGAGGCGACAGACGAGTATGCGTGAGGGGTTATGTCTAAACGGGTTCAGTCTCGGTGTGTATGCCCGCAGTTCCGTCGATAATGTCCTTTCACATAGAAATGTCACAAGACAAGGAGAAGTCGACCAACTCCAGCCGCCCGGGCGATGTATAGTCGAGCCTGGGGCCTGGGGCTCCGGCGGCGTGTTTGCACGGAGCACCACCCACTTTGACACAGTGACAGCCCGCGACCCCTGTGGCTGGACCCGCAGCTCAGCCCCGCCGGCGGCGGCGAGGGCGCAACTGAGCCGCACCGCAACACACTGAGGGGAGGCGTGTAACTTCAACACATTCTCCGACGCAACACAATGAATGGCCACGCAGCTCACAAATGCGATGCACTGTTTACTGCAATACAGCAAAGACTTCCTAGTTACAGTCACGGCAAATACAGCCTTCCCTGTCTGTCAACGTTAGCCATCGGTAGTCGCTATTATCGTTTCCTTAGGGAGCTGCTAATAGTACTGCAGCTGTAAACAAAATAGATGAATTGTTCGACGCGTCACTATAATTGCAGGAAAGGCACTGGCAGCACTAGCTTTGACGATTTACTCACCAATCACCTCTTGTAGCTCATAATCATCTTTGTTGATGGACCAAGGTAGAGAGCTCATGTCCTCGGACATGACTACAGCTGCTGTTGAAAAGGCCGCGCTGTGCAGACAGTGTATCGAACCTCAGGCCTGTGATGTTTAGTATTCTTGGAAATAAAAAATAACGTTCAAATTTCAAAGCAGACCCGCAACGCCACTTCCCTCACTTGCAATCTTTCACAGGTCCTACTATCATTCCCAAACTTTGCCACTAGCTGCACACACCCCGCCCACCACGTTCCTGGCGGCGCTCACAGGAAGAGCCGGAGGGCGGCCATCTTGTGTGTGGCAAAATGACAGGCGAATGACAATGCAGCACTAATTCGTTCAATTGTTAATGAATCGCTTTTTTGGAGGGTCCAAATTGTCCAGAATTATTTTTCCTTCATGTCAAATAACGCAAGGCATGCAAACTTATTATTACCCTTTCAACTAGGAAAGCTGTCAGATGGATACCTAGCATGAAAAATTACAACAAATCACCCTGTACGTTTTATACCCTTTAGTTTCTAACAGCCGGTACTTCCAACGTTAAACAATCTGCGAGCTATGCTCTGGCCATGAGGAGCTATTTCCAGCCACAACATTGATGGTAGAAGCTATCCTCCCGAAGAAATCGAATATATTATTTTGGTCTGTGCACATAGTGGTTTTCTATTGGGCAAAATTAAAAATGAACCCTTGCTGATTGGTCACTACTACAGTCAGTCAAATCAAAACATCCTGTGTGCGCCCCTTGCTTTGATACCTCCTCCTTCATTCAGTGATTTAGAAAGACGGCAGTGCCATCGGTTGTTGAGTGATCACTGAGTCACAGCAATTAAATATCATCCTACCTTTGCCAGCGCCGTGTCCACGCTACTTCGTTCTCCGTACACCATACTGTCCGTAATTTAGGGAGGTGTGACCCATTTGAAGACAATATACATGTGTTTGGACTATTTTAAATTGTTTTAAAAAATTGAATTTTACATTAGGCTTAGTTCCTTGTCATAAATATTTAAATATTAAAGTATTAAGTTCAATTAAGTATGGCATAATGCGTTTTGCCAAAACATGTTTAATGCTTCTTATATGAAGTGGAATCAAGGCGAATTTATATGTGACCGAATTAATAATTTTCCTTGAAGTTATGTGCGAGTCACCTGTGATTTAACAGGAATACGCCTTAATGAATAGATTGTTCCTTTAAATACTCAGAATAAGTAATTTACCGGAATTGTATATTAATGTATGACAATTGCCATGACTCTTGACAATTGCCAAAGCATCCATCCATTCTCTAACTGCCTCTTCCAGTGTAGGGTCGCAAGGGAGATGGTACCCATCCCACCATGCACTGGACACAAGGCTGGGTAGCCCCTGAACAAGACATCACTCCATCACAGGTCAAACAGAAACACAAATACAGACATACACAATCACAGCTTCGGATTCCCAGAAGCCAATGAACCTAAAAGGTATGTTTACATTTTAGACTATGAGAAGAAACCCACGCAAACATGGGTAAAACATAAACTCTACTCATAGCACCCAAGGTCTGGAAGTGAGCCAGGGGCCCAAGCATAGCGAGGCAACAATGCCACCCACTGCATCAATGTGCCACCCATTGCCAAACTATTATTATTATTATTATTATTATTATTATTATTATTATTATTATTACCATATGGTATAAAGCAGTTTGGTATAAACGAGTTTGAATCTAATGTATACTTGTTTTCATTTCTTTATGCTTGGGAGCTTTTTTCTATCAGAACATTTTAGAATGTTCTAGGCTAAATATGTTTTCAGTGGATTCATGTAATTTTCCCTGTTTTTTATGTGATAATTTGACAACCTTTTCCCGGAGAAGGAGTTAGCCTTCCAGGGATGTTTAACTGCTATTAACATGGAGAAAGGGGGTTTTCTGAGGGTGGGGCACTGTGGTGTCTTGTGAATTGTCATTCGTTGTACACATACAGTATGTATCAAGTCTGTGTCCATTATGAGATTGGGGAATAAAATCTACAGACTCATGTGGGAAGAACATGGACTACACAATAGTATTACATAATACATAGATTCCAAATACATTATTAACATCTAGTACCAAACAACAATGTAACAATTTATGGCTCTGGGAGGTCCTTACATCAGACACCATTCCACAGCTTTGATCTACAAGTCCATGATGCACCAGTTCCGAGTCTCATCATTTGCAAGAAATACGAACAAGTAGCTGACTCCCATCTTTATTTCAAGGAATGGCTATATAAGATGTTTGGATAAATCAGTTCTTAACTCCCAAATGAGCTAAATGGGCTGACCGGCCTCCTTTTGTTTGAAACCAAAGTTTGCTCTCAAAATCAAAAATCTTCAAACAATCCCAGCCTTCTGCCTAACTGCTGCCGTTGTGTTCACCCACCTGATAAACCAGTTTTGACTCACCTTTCCTGAGCACTTTGTTCCAGAAGTCTTGTTATTCAGGCGGGTGCTGTTTCACAAACTTTGGCCACGCAGCAGTGTTCTCCTTGGAGAGCAGGGGTTTCCTCTTGACTTTCTTGGTCCTTCCATGTAAGCCAGTGTTATTCTGTCTTGTCCTAATGGTGGACTCATGATCTCTCTCATTTACCATAGCGAGAGAGGCCAGTAGAATGAAACCTTAGGGTTCTTTTTAGACTTTTGGGAGCATCATACTGTAGGTCAGATCTTTAATAAAATTCGACAGGGCAGCAACTCCTGGGTAGATTGGCATCAGTCTTGAATTTTCGAAATTTCTGGATTATCTTTCTAGAAAGATGGACTTCCCAGTGTTTGGAAATGGCATTGTAACCCTTCGCAGGCTGTTAAGCAGCAACAGTTCTTTCTCTAAGACACTGTCACTGGTTTATTTTGTTCTGCGCACAATGTGTTACCACTAACCTGAGTGCTTACTACTAAACTGAGAATGTGTATGATTTTCTATATGGGCAAAATCACATCTTAATGATCAACTAATCATTCGTACATGTTTTATTCCACCTGTTTATTGCGGTGGTAGAACTTACATTTTCACACAAACATATCGAATGCTGTTTCATTGTTTAAATAAACAATGACAAAGTAGAATTTGTTTGTGCTATTTGTCAGCTGAGGTGCATTTTATCTGCTATTAGGATTTGGTGAGGACTAGGTGAGGGTCAAATATGTCTAAATATATTAAACCTTTTGTAATTTTATAAAACCTTAAGGGGTCCTAGTTTTTCACATTATATATCTCATTCTAATCTGAAAACTGAACAGATGGTCTAAAATGGATCCCTGTGATATGCCACTGCTTAATTACAGTTATTAGTTTTAGGGATGAATTTGTTGAAAACCTTTACATTATCTTTTTGAAGTACGACCATCCTCATTGTATAGCAGGCACAAGTACAGGTTTTCAAACTGAAAGGTTTGAAAGAAGAAAACCAAGGTTAGAACTACAGTTTGGATTTTTCTTCGGTTTTGTTTGATCTTCTTCCCATATATTTTCAACATGGAATTAACCTTACAGTTCACACACTGATACAGCTCCCCACTCTTTTTTCTGTTGTCTCTCAGTCCATCTGTTTCCAATTCACTGCCTGCAAGCTTTGCCTCATTCATTCTTAATCTGGTTTTATAAAAATGTAAACCCAATTTTTAGACGCAGCCTTTAAAGGGTTCCATTACACAGAAAAGCTTACCATGCTGTTGCATAATGGACCGTAGCCAAATGTTTTAATTTCCAACAAACCACCTTAGAGTTGTATCTTTTAAGTAGAACATTCTGGAAGCTTTAAGGAAATGTAAATTTACCATATAATTGTTCAGAGAATATAGTGATTTAGTAATGTTTGATTAGCTTTTTTTAAAGGTTTCTGCCCCTTATAATAATATTACAATATTAATAATCTTTTAATCCCGAGTACAGTCTTCAATACTTCATTAGTTCTTTAAGTAAAATTTGCCATTGTTAAATCTACAGTTAGTTGTGATTAGATCACCACTGCGTTTTGTTAAATTTGAGTTCCTCTAGTACTTGTATTATTTTCCTCTCTGTAATGTTCAAGTCTACAGTTTTTTGTGATTTAAAAACCAAACAAAAAATAAAACATTCTGTACTTTTCTGTTATGTATTTTCAAATCACCTCTTCTTTATAGGGTGTTACCTTCATGCTATTTATTCCTGGAAAATAATTTTCAGAATTTGAAAACGTTTATCACTAAACCAGCACTCTGGGCTCCCTGTCAAATCTCACTCGCATGAAAGTAACACTTCTAAAAAACAGGTGCTCTTAATTCTGTCGAACTGGCAACACTATAAAGTCTGTTAGGAAATACTGTTTTCAGATGCTGATAGTTTAGTCTGATCACAAACCAGTGAACCTACACAGCACCAGCACCTGTAGAAAGAGAAAATTAGGTAGAGGATCTCTGTTCTCATTCCCAGAAACTGAAGAAAAAATGTTACTCTATTATAATAGATTCTGTATACAGTAGATAATTCTCTTTCTCTTGCACACTTAAAATTCAGGACTGCACATTCCAGCAGATATTTTTTATTAAGATGGCCTTTTGCTCAGTCCACGATTTCCAATCTCATTATAAACTAATGGGTCATCTTGTTTAATTTGAGTCTCACTTCTTCAACATGTGCCGTGGTCCTTCATGAGGGTTGGTTTATCTGAAAAACCAATGCATAATCTGCTGGCGTTTTAGAGGTGAAACAGAAGTATTGGCTTAATCTGTTTCTTTTTACATAACCTCTTACCAGATGTTACTGTTTGGAATAGTGATTTGAATGTTCTAGACATTTCCTGGGACACTGTACTGTATTTTTGTCATCCAACTTGTTCACTTATAGCAAATGTTCCTCACAGAGAATACTTGACCTCTCATGTGATGCTATTATATGAAGTTAGTGCCTTGTGTAAACTTTGTCTAGGGGACACAATGGACTCCTTTCTGCATATGTTTTGGCATTGTCTTGGGGTGGTTATATTTCAGAAGGCTAAGCGCCATAAATGGTTGTGGCATAAATGAACTACAGTATAACATGCAAAATCACATGATTTTGGTGCTGGTCGTTTCTGTAGGGAATACATATGTAAAATATCCAGACAACATTTTTCCCTTTGATCTTCAAATTTTCTACAATAAATGTATTGTTACTGTATCCTTTACAAATTTTTTGGTGTTCTTTTTTACAAGTTTTAATGTATGCAGTACTTATAAAATCTGTTTTGTATTCATGTGATCCCCTTATCCAAATTACTTTCTAATTCTCTCAGCCTTGTTCTTTTTTGACTTGCCTTTGTACAGCTGCTCAGTTTACTGTCCATGACTTTACAGACGTTTTTGTAGTTATTTTTTCTGTAGTTAACACAGTTCACCAACAGGAGGTTTTTCCTGCAAGCTCCAACTCTGCCAATAACAAAGATCCTGTTGTTTTTGTCCCTTTAAAAGCATTTGTTGATGCAACCCATTATCTCTAAACTATGCAAATGAATTAATTAGCTAAGTGGTTTACTATCTTACTAAGAAACAATGATATATACAGTAGGTCTTATTTGGTTTATTTACAGGAGTATGTACCCATAACTAACCCATTAACTGTTAAAAAGT